CATTATTTTTAAATGTATGTAGTCTGCGTATGAGTACTTGATGTTTCCTTTTACGCCTATCTCATCAGATTCTGGTAAAGATCCATGAAAATGCAACTCTGAAGAAAACACCTGAGTGATATAAACTTCTTCTTAGCTTTACGTTTATAAGCCATTTTTTTGTTACTGTAATTGAATTTGCTGATAAGCACCTGGGAATTTTTTCATGCTGTTGTCCTTAGATTAGTAATGCCTTCTCCTAACCTAATATGCAACAGCAATTTTTGTCTGTTCACTGTTCCTTAGATAACAAAATCATATTTCACATAAGATACCTTTCCTGTGGAGTTCATATAGTCGTGATATTTCAAAACAGCAAGAACCAGGATCTGTAAGGAAGAAAAAAAATTACCTTTTCCTACCTGCTGTTCCATTCTGCACAATATATTTCAATGCCACTAGTTTATCATGAGCAACAACATATTATAATTCAGTATCAGTAAAACATCATAACTTAAAGGTAATAAATAATGATTTGAATGTCTGCTCTAATCTAACAAATTCAGTTTGTTATGACTTAGTTGGCATATCTAAACAGGGCAGAAAAAAATATTGAAGATATCCCTACAGTGTCAGAATTGAAACTTCTTACTGCAGCCATGCAGGGGTATAGTGTCTCTTGTACTTCCATGCAGATTATTCCAGACAACTACATTCTGCATGAATGCCTACCTTCTCTCCTACTGAAACTGTAATAGCTATTTTTAATAACTTAATCTGGACAAATATTTTGGTGCAAACATTCTTGTGATCACAACAGCAACTTCAAACACCTGAAGAACAGAAATGCATGCTTGCTGAACATTGTAGTTCTTCACCCAAAGGACTATTTGACCAAAGTTATTTTGTCATCGAACTGGCTTTGTACATGTTCACAATTCAAAATATTTACCTAACTGAATATCTGACTGATTGGAAGACAAAGACTATAACAATTAAAAATATGGCCTTCAATTAAAAAAAAAAACAAACAAAACCAACAGTGTTACTTGCTAACAGCCATCTGAATATGCACTTAGAATCACTTTAAATCATGTTTGCATTTCTGAATTTTTTTGCAGTACAATTTACCTAAACCTTTGATTCAAATTGAAATCAAAAGGAGTCTTCACTTACCTCCTAACAAGAAGTTACTGTTTCCTGTTTTTAGCACTGTTGCTATACCTTTACAGTTCTTTGCTCTGAATTAGCTTTACTATTAATGAAAAGCACCAGAGAAGCAAATCTTATAATTGCCATGCATTCTCTTTAATTTTTAAAGATTTATTTAAGAAGAGTACCATGTTAAAAGTAGTCAAACCAGTGGCCAAAATAATGTCTCAGCTGAAATTTTCCCCAGATACCACGTTTAGAATATTTAATTCAGTATCAGTTCCTCCTGTTCCTTTTTTTTCCTCTTTTGTTAAGGAGATGATTTAAGTTGTTCAGAATGACAAAATCAGGTGAAAATGATTACAGCAAATTGGCACTCCCAAAAGATAGAATTAGATTTTCGAGGATAACTGGCAACTGGAAGTTTCAGAACAAATGAAGCATGCTCTCTCATCATAAATTCTAAAAATATATTTACCTCTTGATAATTTCTGTATAAGCATGAGTAATTGAGCATGCAAAGCACTCCCTGTGCAACGAATGTAGGTAAAATAGAGGAAGTCCAAGCCTGTCATTTAGATAAATCCAGAGCTGTACAATTTCATTTGCATGTAATAAAACCATAAAATCTGTTAACATCTGCACCACAACAGGATTTTTATTTCATTGCCTACAATTACAGCACCACAATTATAGAGAAAGTCAATATGAAAATGTATTGCACCTCATTATGATCTCCAAACCAAATTATGTGGTGTATATTCAGTGTGAATACCTGTGTGCATGCATACATTTATATTTATACATAAATTTATATATAAGTACAAACTCACAATATTTATGGCAATTGTTCAACATATTTTAAAACAGAAGGACATAAACAATATATTTATTTGTAATTCACTTAGAAATAAGGGTGAGCATGCTTAACAAATGTGGATAAGCACACTTAACAATTCTCCCACTATTACAACCACAGAAAATATCACCTAGAAATGCTGATGGTATTTAATACATAGGAAATAGCTTCAAGGAAAGATAAAACATTTGTTTCTTTTTTATTTTCTTTTTCCCCTGTATGAATTTGAATCCAGAGAATAAACAGAAGTATTCAGATGTATTGTGTATGTATTTTGTGTCTGTAGAAGCTCATTGCTACCATAACCATTTTCAGCTATCTGTTTCTGTGGTTAAAATGTCACAAAGAAGTAAGTTCACACATTTGAATAAGAAAAAAATATGAGTTTATCTTTGTGCATATATGTATTTATGTGTTTTCCCATTTCTTTTTTCCTGAAGAAATCATTTAATTTGCAAAAAAGCTAAAAGTAAACTAAATATGATTTACATGCAATGTTAAATTCAGAGTAGGAATTGAAATAAAAATTACCGATATTCAAATCAAGTGGGGTACCATAGAGTTCTAACTTGATACATGTCATGTTTAACATTATTATCAAAGACCTACAGGCAGCAATAGAGTCCAGACAGAAGTTTGCAGATGACAGCAAAATGCAGCCCGTGAGTCAATACATTGAAGGGTAGAGCTGCCACCCAAAGGATCCAAAAAAGGATGGAAAAATGCATCAACAGGAATCTTATGAAAGGACAAATCCAGTGTAGCACCCAGGAAGCATGCTATGGAATAAAATGATGCAATGCAATTAAAAAAATAATAATAATTTGAAACTTTAACACATTTCCTGTCCAAAAAGGCTAATGATTTATAATTCTACATCCGAATGATGTTGCAAGTTCACAAATACCAAAGTCTGTGTGATTGTGGTAAATGCTTTAATGGGGAAAAAAAAGATGTTAGCAGTAAACTAGTGAATTTACAAACAAGATGATGTTAAATATAGTCCACTAACTACCAGAAAAGGCTATTAACTTTTGTACAAGAAAATGGAGAAGTTTCCTTTATGTTAATATGGCGGAAACCTTTATTTTCCGTCAAATGAAGGAAAAAAATCTCTATGAAATGACACAGTATACAATTTTTTTTATTTTTTCTATTTCTTTTAATCTGATTCAGAAGTATTTAATTTTGTAATCTGAGACAGTCTTGAATCCTAAAATGTCTCTAGTAAAGCTGGCCTTAAAATAATGTTTCTGAGTTTCGAGTATTCTAAATACTGATCCACCCCATCTTTAGAAATCTTCATTTTCTCCCAAAGTTCTTTGTCAGGATAAAATAGAACTTATATTCCAGACAACTGCAAAAATAGGTGATAAACTATAATTTAAAGTTGTCCTCTAGGAAAGGTATGATTCTTTTCCTACCTGAGAAAGGTAATAGACATTTTTGTTCCTGAAATCAACTTGGACAGGTCAGCATTCTCTACGACAATATAGTATTTCTGCAATATCACAAATGCCATGTCTTTAATTTTTCAGAGAAAAATATAGACTATGTTTTTCCTCATAAATTAGAGTTCAAAATCACCTACCTTCAAAGCCTTCATGTTACTAAATATTGCAGATAACTGAATCAAAATGCTTATAACATGTACACACGTTTCATGCCTTAAATGTTTATTCCTAACTTCATTAAATTTATCTGCAAGATGGCAGCTTTACCAGGAAGTCTACCTTGAAATAGTTAGCTGAACTGTATCCTAAAAACTTAGCAATGTCAATCCACTGTCACTGGTTTGCATTATCTTTGGAGAATTAATCCTCACCAAACGAATGATAGTGGTTGCTTTATATCTAAATCTTTGTTAATAAGTGTGAACATTAAGATGGATCAGAAGACTGCAGTAATTAGTTGGTTTGCCTATACCAAGATTTATGTTAATTCCAAATATGATCCTGTCGCATAATGCTAGAATTTAATTTCAATAAAGGATTAGACATAGATTAGCTGTCCTATTTAAACGAAAAAGAAAAAACCCACACACATGCACATATTTATGTATGAGCTATCACACTGTGAAATCATTTTTGTTAGCACTGCACAGGGTGTCCTGTAAGATACAAGAATTAGATACGTTGTATTTAAGTATAACTCAAACATGTCTACAAGTAACTGAAGTAATTTATTTTATGGATTACAACAAACTAATAATCTTAGAGCTAGGAATAAATTATGAGAATAATGCGAGGAGAAAAACATGACACGTGTGTTAAGGAACATGTTGACACGGTGAGCATGCTATTTGCTTAGTGATATGAGACTAAAATTATACTAAAGTATAATTTAGCAGGCTCTGTTAAAATGATGGTTCTCACACTCATATAACAAGAAATAACGTTATGTAATTCTGAAGTAGGATTTTAAAGAGGTTGTGGTTTTTTTTGCCTTATTTCCTGTAGTAATTTCCCACTGTACTCATGTATCACTCCACATACACACTCAGGAGTTTCATTTTCACATCTCACTTCTTTAATATTACCTTTCACCTTTCAGTCTGCAGTAACAGACTTTTTCTGCTTTGGTGTTGCAGAAAGCAGTGCTAGAAAGCAAATTACTCTTCAGGTCCAAGTTCCTGCCCCAAATCACAGTACATTTCTTCTGAAAACGTCTGTGAGACTCAAACTCTTTGGGGAAAAATAGCTAAAACTATATGAGATGCCTTTTAATGACTTTTTAAAAAGTTTTTAGCTGAAGTTTATGTTGGAAAAGTAGATTATCCCAAGCACAACTAGAGGCTGGGTGGAGAATAGACTGAGAGCAGCCCTGAGGAGAAGGAATTGGGGGTGTTGAGTGACAAGAAACTCAACATGAACTGGCAGTGTGCACTTCAACCCAAAAAGCCAACCGTATCCCAGGCTGTATCAAAAGTAGTGTAGCCAGCAGGGGCAGCAATTCTGTCAGTCTACTCTGCTCTCGTGAGACCCCCACCTGTAGTACTGCATTTCAGAGGAATGTCGACCTGTTCAAGCAAGTCCAGAGGAGGGCAATGAAGATGATCAGCGGGCTGGAACATCTGTCCTGTGAAGACAGGATGAGATGGCTGGGGTTTCTCATTCTAGAGAAGAGAAGGCTCTGAGGAGACCCTAAAGCTGCCTTCTAGTACCTAAAGGAGGAGGTTAGGGTTACAAGAAATATGGAGAGGGACTTTTTGCAAGGGCATGCACTGATAGGACAAGGGGAAATGGCATTAAACTGGAAGAAGGTAGTAGATTAGACATTAGAAAGAAATTCTTTACTATTAGGGTGGTGAAACACTGGAACAAGTTGCCAGACAAGTTGTGACTGCCCCATCCCTGGAAGAGTTGAAAGCCAGGTTGAATGGGGCTTTAAAGAATCTGGTCTACTGAAAGGTGTTACTGCCATATAATCATATAACTGTGTTGGAAGGGACTTTTAAGGGTCATCTAGTCCAAACCCTCTGCAGTAAGCAGGGGCATCTTCAACTAGATCAGGTTTCTCAGAGCCCTATGCAGCCTGACCTTGAATGTTGTCAGGAATTGGTCATCTATCATGTCTCTGAGCAACACGTTCCAGTGTTTCACCATCCTCATAATAAAAATTTTCTCCCTTATATCTAATCTGCATCTACCCTTTTTTAGTTTAAAATCATTACCTCCTGTCCTATCTCAACAGGCCCTACTGAAAAGTCTGTCCCCATCTTTCTTAGAGGCCCTCTTTAAGTACTGAAAGGTTGTGAGAAGGTTTCCCTGGAGCTTTCTCTTCTCCAGGCTGAGCAACTGCAACTCTCTCAGAATTTTCTCCTAGGAGAGGTGTTCCATCCCTTTGATCATCTTTACTGACCCCATAAAAATGCAATTCTGGAGGAAAAAAAAAAAAAAAAGCCAAAATCCCCATGTTTTCTCACCTATTGCTCATTTCTCCTGTAATGTAAGAAACTTGGGTAGGATCTAATGCCCAAAGTTACAATTCAAGTAGACAATGTATACAGAATAGAAAATTGCTCTGGAATCTCAGTCTTCTTGAACTGAGAAAATAACTGTCCTCAGTCTTGAAAGGTGAAGTGATGCAGACATTACCTGACATAAGCAACCCAAACATGCTGAAATATACTACCTTGCAGACATCAAAGTGCATGAGTTTTAGATGAGAGGAAACCCTAACTAGCTTTCAAGTGCAGAGTGTTTCTAGTTGCACCTTTCCCTCCAAATGAAAATGGGATTGACAGACTGGATCTATTCAGGCTCCATAAAGATCCTTTTGCTTCTTTGGCTTAGGTTTCTACAATGGTTGTCAGTATACATGCTTATGGATAGATTATCTATCTTCCAGGCTGATAGAAAATATGTATTTACTGATGGTAGTCACATTAAGCATCACCAAATAATTAAACACGCATTAAACGTCCTTGTATCTGTAACTACGATTAGGACTTTGTGTGCTGTTTTTCTCCCTGAAAGATAATATAATCAATTAAAAGTGCAGTTTTTCAGAAAACTGCTCTAAAAGTACTAAATTTCAATTATTCATGTGATTAGATAGAACTGGAAAAATAATTTTGTAAGTATTCTTACAAAATTGAATTATAAAAATACAGTTCAGATTTAATGTTATGGATATGTTACAGAGATACATATTAAATGCAACTACTGGTTATTGTTTCAAATTTCAGTTCCATAAACCAATGATTTTGGTGATGAGGTAGGCCCAATTTCAACTCTGTGGTCAAAAGCAGAAGACTGCAGATTTATAAGGAGAGGTTTTTATTTTACATTACAGGAGAGTGCTTTAATCACTGTGTGCAGGATAAAGCTTTCTTTTTAGCTTCTTTGAATATCAGTAATTTTACTTCTAAACTTGAGATTAATGTAGCTACAATTGGAAACCCCCCCACTGTAAATCATATCTAATATTTCATTATGTTCTTTTCCCTCTCAGTTTAAAGAATAGAACAAAAGCAGCAATAATTTTGGGGAAGGTAAAACCATCTTTTCTCTTTTGTTTGCATTTCAGCTGGCTAAATCAAGTAATATTTTTTCCCCAGCTTTAATTTATGGGAAAGCATTGGAAGCATTTGTGTGTTCTAAGAAAAGATTGCAAACACTTTGCTTCAGAGTAATATATGTTTTAGACTCATGCTCTTAAATATTCTGCTGAAGTGAATGTAAATGCAGTATGCATATGAAAGAGAAAATTGGTGCTCACTGGTATACTTACTGTGTTATGGTACTTCAGTAATTCTTAGCTTTGTTGTCTATCTAATGTGCAAGTGAGTCATTCTCTAGTATTTCAATTTTATGAGTTCCACTAGTCAACAAAAGTGAAAAAAAAATAAGGAAAAACTGCATTTGGGATACGATTTTATTTTTAAATTCTTGTCATGTAACAACTGTGGCCTCATACTCATCATGTTTGTGTTGCTTCCAGCCTCAAAGATTTCTCTGAATCTGACAGATTCACAGAGTTTATTTATGTTTCCCCTCAGTGTAATTGGGCTCAACAATACATCTTCATCTTTAGACTTAGTTTGTTGTGTACTGGTTCTTCAGGAAAAAGAATCTTTTCTCCTTAAAGAGGTTTTTATTTCTTATACAGACTTTTATCGACCATATATGAAAGACCGTGTTTCTAATGTCTGATGCAGTAAGTCCCTGGTATTGAAAAATCTATTTTCTTTCTGTAGCTAGCATTATTTGTTATTTGCATGTAAGGGTTTTGGAAAATTTTAAAATATTTATTATCTCTTATTAAGTGACTTAAAAAAAAAGAATAGTCTTTTGTTTCTCTTTCCTTTATGATGTTTAATAGCAAACAGTCTCAGGTTAGACTGATCTCCAGTTTGTGAAAAGAAGTCTTCTCATGAGCTTAGAAAAATTAGGACATTTTACATGCAAAATTTATGTTTCTGCAAAAACGGTATACGTGTTTTAATTTTTTTCCATGAGATTTATCTGTCTCATGTATGCTATAACTGAAGGGCAGAGTTTAAGGTATACTGTTGCTTCACTGAGTAATAACTCATCCTAGTGACTTTCAGTATGTCAAGACAAAAATAAAGTTTGGTAGAGAGGAAAGAGAAGCTGGGAATAGACACTCCAAGGGCAGAATACTTCCGCTTCATTTATGTAAATAGACAAACTATGAAATGAACAAGAAATCACTTATTCTTAAAAAATAATTTTAATAAATAGTTATTTGTAATTTTGATTATATCTAAAAATATTCATGAAAATTCCCTTTGAATTTGCACTAGCAAACATGTTATGGCATCCTAATGACAAAATGGCTACATTTTGCATAGCCATATTTTACATTGCCACATAAGAGAGACATTTATGAATAAAAATTACCTCTGTCTGTAACAAAGATTAAAGACCAAATGTCCTGTATCAGTGACTTCTGATGGCTACTTGAACGATGCTACTATCTCACCTTTTCAAAAGTAATTACTCACTTGTTTTTTTTGGGGAGCTTACTGCTTTTTGCTGGAATAGTATTAATCTTCTTCTTAAAACTTGTATAGTGTTATGCCCTGCCTTTGTTCTGAAAAAAGAAGTGTTGATAAAACAAGGAAATTTTTTGTTATTGCTGAGTAGTGCTTGCAGAACCTCAAAACCTTTTCTGCTTCTCACACTGCACTGCCAGCAAGTAGTCAGGAATGTAGAAGAAGTTGGAACCAGGACAGCTGACCCGACTGACCAGAGTATCCCATTCCATATAATGTTATGTTCAGCAATAAAAGTGGAAATAGTTGAACATCTGCCTGCCAGTGGGAACTGATCAAGAAATTCCTTATTTTGCTTTGTTTCCACATACAGCTTTTTCTTTACCTAGCAAATTGCCTTTATCTCATCCCACAATTTTTCTTCCACTCTTCACATTCCCTCCTCCATCCCCCTGTGGGGCAGTGACTGAGTGGTTGTGTAGGGCGTTGCTTCTAGCCAAGGTTAAACCTTCACAACTATTACGACAAAGGAGACAATATGTCTGGTCAAAAGTTCAAAGGATTTCAGGAATAAAAAATGTGCAAAATGTGAAGGGTAATCAAATATACACTCTTAAAGCTGATATAGGTTAAAAACACTGTGACAACAAAACAGGAGGTGGAGCAGAGCACTCTGCTTCACTACTTAGAAAAATCATCTTACACTTTGAGATGCTGAGAGTGAGAAGATCTGAGTGCTCCAGGCCCAGGGAAGCACTGTCATGTCCATTTGTGGTTCCACTCAAATACCCTCCAAATGATTTTGTCTACATCATGTCGTTTGACCTTTAGAACCACAGCAATGCTAATTACAAAAAATATAATCATATAAACACTAAGAATTTGAAATACTATTGCTCAACATGTTTAAAAAGCAGCCAGTGTGGGAACACAAGATTCTTTAGACACATACAATTGAGACAAGTTTCAGGTCCAGAAATTAAAACCATTTTTAAGCATTAAATCTGTGAAAAAGACGGGCTTCACGATCATACTTCCTTTAATGTCTTCCACTGACTATTTTTAGTGTTTATCCTCTTTATGTTTTAGTTTGATGTATCCTATTCTCTGGCGCATAATACATTCTATACATCCTGCTTAGCAATTACTTTATCTATCTTACTCTAGAAGAACGTTCATAGAGTTGCATCTAGCAAGAAACACTAATAATATACGTGAACCTTTGGCTTGTGTCAAGTTTTTAACTCACAGTGATATTCCGGTTTCTAATGAAACCCTGACTGCCCCTAGTTCTTGTGTGCTGGCTCAGTTTGCAGACATTCTTAGAACGTTGGTTTGTTTAGAGGAAACTACACTGAAATTTCCATTCCAGGTAGGCAGAGAAAGTACACCAGCTGCTCGTGATGGCATCGGGACCTGAACCATGACAACTCCAAAACACATTGCCATGAGACTTTTAGTGCTAGAACCCCAATAAAAATTCATCAGGAATAAAATTATGGGGTTTTGCAAAATATCAATGCCAAGACATCAGCTGTTTGATTTCCTGATCCCTGTTCAGTGCTCTAAATAACTTGTTATTATATTAATACTTTTGTTGACTTTTAGGAATCTTAAACTAAATAATTCTTTTAGTTTTTCCCACAGCTACGGGTTAAAATAGTAAATGGAAAAACAGAACTAATTAGAAGAATACCTAG